ACTAAATTGTGGCAAAAAAAGATATAAAACTAATTAAAATTAAAAGTTAGTTTTGGATGCATAAATAAAAAACATCAAACTTGGACTTAAAGTTCGCACTTGCAATATAGTAAAGCCAATTATTTGATACTGAAGTCTTGTAATTTTTGTACTATTCATGTAGGTGATATTGGCATATTATGTTATTTACTTGTTGTAAAATGTTTTTTTCAACAATTATTTCTTTATATTATAATTTTTCATCAATCTTTAAAATATGAATTCAAGGCACAGCAAGAACTAATTTTTTCAACTAATGTTGTTGTAATAATGTCATGAAACAATTCATGAATTTTATTTTTGTATAAACGAACTAATTTAGTAGCTTTTTTATTATTCATGGAATAATCTCATATTTATCCTCAGGTTATTTTTAAATTTTACCTCACATTTATTATTCAAATTATATACTCTTATAATTGTGAATAGATTCTAATTAGTTCAATTGCTTTTGATAAAATTATTTGCAGCATTATAAAATTGTCGAAAAAAAGTGAAAAAATTTGCTTTCATGGAAAAAACTCGATTAAAAGCTTTTTTGCAAACATTTTATCAATGCATTTCAACTTTTTCTTTCATGATAGTGTAAAATTTTGCATAAATTATTTTGCTTCCTATAAGTAATTATGGGAAGTTTCTCAACATGCTTATTTTTTTCTATGACTTAGCTTTCATGTATTATTTACAAACATTTATTCCTTACTCTATAACTTAACTTACAGCACTTTAATTCTTTAAACTTTGAAATGAAGAATCATAGACAATAATTGAAAATTATGCAATTCATTTGCAATAGAATATTTGCATATTCTAAAATTGTAGCATGCAAAATTAAGCACAATTTTTTTTAAATTTATAGAAACAAGTAATGCTGCAAAAATAAGCTATTTTCTATTTTGATAAAGTTATTGCTAGCGCAGCTTTTTGTTTCTATTTCTAAATGTAATTCTGAATTATAGTATTTATTTGAATTTCCTCTTCAAAAATTTTAAGCATATATATATATATATATGAAAAATATAAAAATGTTTCTTGCGAGTAAATTGTAAGTGAAGAAAATAGAATATACAAATAAATGAAATAATTGTTCAAAAAAATTTTTGATTGCTTTTATAACTTTTTAAAGTTTTTAGTTGATTACTAAAGCAGTAATGTGACTCAAGCATGAATTGTTTTACCAACAATTTTCTTGTAAGGCTGTTCTGAAAGTTATCAAAAATTTTTTCACCACAAATTTCTTAGTTGTGTAATATTTTTTCATAAATTTTAATTATATCATTGTATCAATTGTTTTATCACAACAAATAAAATATGCATACAAAATTTTGATAACACAAGAAATCAGATTACAATCATATCGCATTTTTTTCTCGCAAAGTTTATTTTTATTGAGAAAAGAATAAGCTAAAATATTAAATGTATAAAACAAATTACGCAAAACTTTTTCACTGTTTTTTTGCTTCAATAAAAACACGTTTTGCGAAGTTTATTTTAATCGTTCATTTTATAAACATTGCAATTATTCTTCCAAATTATAAAATTTAAAACTTAACCTTCTCAATCACGTAATTACTATTTTTTTGTAACTAAAAGCAAGTAATTGATCACCTTTAAGTTAATTTATTCATCCAACTGTAAAACAGTAATAGACAGTCAGTGCGCATGATTGCTTCAACAGGTAAATAATCCTTGAAAAATTAAGAAATATATAAAAATTAGTAATATTGATTGTAATAAAATTGTAATTTGGGAAAAAAAGACAAGTTCATAAAGAAGAATAAGGAAAAATGATCAATTGAATTTTAAAAACTTGATATCCAGATCTAATGAGTTTTGTTTAAATAAAGAAATAAAAAATTAGTCTACTAAAAATTTTTTGATTTTGAAGTCAAAAACAAAGAGATAAGTTTTCAAATCAGTCTATACATTTTCAGTAAAAAAATCTAAATCCATGCCATTTATGAGTCAATAGTAATTTATGATTTTTATTTCAAATCTGAACACTTAATGACATGTTAAAAAATCAGCTTGTAATTTGACCATTTAAATTATGGTTACGGTTATCTTCATTTGTTTATGAAGATGGCTAAATCTATTTATGTCATTTATAACTTGTCATTGCAAATCGTAACTTCAGTTCTTTTCAATAAAGTTTATTTTATTCAAATTCCAGTATTTGAAATGTCATATATCTATGATTTTAATGAAAAATACTGTATAAAAAGAAATGGTCATAATTGATCATATATTGAGAATTCTACCAATAATAACATTTTTCATCTGTTCATTTTTCAGCTACAATATCTAATCATACTTCTAATTTTCTTACTTTGTCTATGATGCAATATTACTTTGATCATTTGTAAATGTGTCAAGATTTAAATAATCGACGTTATCATGATAATATAAGAGAAAAAATAATCTACATTTCTATCAAATTAATTGAAGCATTGTTGGTAAAAAATTTGAAAAACAAGCTTGATTAGTTTAAATTTTTTTTGGCTTTACTTAATCTAGAATTTGTTTTATGGGTAATTATAATACATCATAATTTATTGTTAGTAGTACACAGCTATTCATATATAATTAATTTACTAGTTGCGAGTTGGATTTCTGAAATAATTTCTTATACTTAATATTACATATTGAGCGTGCAATGTAATGTAAAGAAGAAAATCTGTGTATTTCTTTGTAATGCAATGAAATCAAATAGTTCAAAATTTTTTCATATTAATAAAAACTAAAAAAAAAAAAACTAAAAACAAAAACTTTCTACAAAATATTTTTAAAAATAAATAAACGTTTGAGAGGAAATACTTCGACAAGTCTATCTTTAAAGATTTTGCATATTTTTCATTTTTGTTTTTATAATTTCTTTAATATTTGTTTTATTTACTATTGTTCTCACTATTTTCACTATTTATTTTATAATTTTCTTTTTTTTTTTAGTAATTTTATCTTTTTTAATAATTTTCTTTTTTTGTTTCCACTATTTATTGTAAAATTTTTTTTTTAACTTTTTACAATCATTGTTTTTATTTTGATTATTAATGTCATATTTTATTCGTATTACTATAAAAATTCGTAGATGATCATGCATTGATTACTGAAAAAAGATATAAGCAAAGGTTTTTATAGCCTTTGGTTAAATCTTTCTTCAACAATTAAAAGATATTCTTAAATTCCAGTAATTTTCTAAAAATTTCTTAAAAACTGCACTTTTGTTTGGTTATTTAACACCAAACTAAAAATTTGAAATCAAATGTTCACAAAAAAAAGCTTATCATATTTTAGTCTAAAAGTAATTTTAAAAGTTGTTTAATTTTTTTGTGTTTATTTTCTTCTTAAACTAATATTCTTGTCATTTTCAATTTTTTAACGTTTTTTAACTTCAAAAAGCAATCACATGCATAAATTGTTTAAAATTTATAAAATTGCAAAATTATTTTCTTTGCAAACTTCTAACTTATTATTACTACACAAAGTGCATTCAATTTTCTTTTTTATTTTTATTCAAATTTTGATTGATCATAACTGTTGCATCTTAAAATTACCATAACTATTTGTGTGCTTTTACTAATTTTGACATTTTTAAATAGTAGAAAAAAAAAATTTGAATACCAAAACTTTCATAAAGCTAAGATTTGCGTCTTTACTTTTTAAAACGATTGCAATGCTTTTCAAATTTGACTACTTCACTTGTGTGTTCAACTTTTTTTTTTTTTAGATTGCTTCAACATCGTTTAAAGATTACTTTTTCTCACAATATTTGTTTAATAAAAGAATTGAAAAATTGAACATAAATTTTAAAAACTTTTCTTATATAAATAATATATATTTGCGGAAATCAGTGAAATTTTCTCACTGATTGTCGATGAATAGTCAATGAACTGTATTTTAAGTATTTGCATATTATGCATTACTTTCTGAAATAATTTTAAGCATTTACAAGTTATATACTAGCTATTTATAACATTCATAATTAATAAGCGCTAAATTTATTCTAGAAGATTTTTAAAGGTTTTAAAAAATAGCACAAAATATTCCATTTAATTTATCTGCAAAAGGGCGATAATCTTTTAAACTGCTATTGAAAAATTAAATAATAGTGAGGCATTTAATTGCTTAGCAAATGGTTGATTACAACGCTTAAATTTGAAAAGTTTCTACAAATTTGTAATATAATTAGTTTATTTAATTCTCATAAGTTAATTAAAGAAACTGCGTAAAACACATTGATTAATGATATTAATACTACGTTTTGAAAACTAACTCTTGAAGATTAGTAACTAATTTTAATATAATTATTTCATTTAATAATTACTGTTTGAAGTATTTTTGTTACATATATTTTTGTGCTCACTAGCAAAAACTGATTAACATTAAGTTATATTTTATATAATTAATATCAAACTATTGTAATTAATCTCAAGGCTGTTAGGATTTTGTAAAAAATGAAGTATATCAAAATGAACAGTTTGTGAATATACGAAGTGAAAAAAAATATCTGGTTGCGAATTTCAGTGTTAAAAAGAGTAGTCATTTGGTGACATAAATATTGTAATAAGAATAAATGCCAAAATTTATTCTTCTTTAAATTATTTTGTAGTATAAAATACCATTGCTATATTTTAAATATTAGAGCATATTTTTTCAAATGTTATAAATTATGTTTTATTTTAACTTATAATGCTTTGAATAATGACTTAATTTTTTTCTTCCTTTAAGTTATAAGTCAATATCAGTTCTTGATAAGAGTTTTTTTTAATTCAACTTGTTAACTTATAAAAATTACATTGATGCTAAGCAAAGTTTCGAAGTAGCATAAATAAAAGTGGTAAGTTGAAAAGCACTTAATTGAAACAAAAGCATATTTATATAAAACAATTACATTTTTAATTTCATTCTAAAAGGTTTATTATGTAAATACACTTATTGCGTTAATTTTCCTTGTTAAAAATTATATTTGTACTGCTCATTTTTATAAAATAATATTTGAAACTTTAGTACACCATACATACGAGCAAGTCGCAAATTTCTGCTCGAGAATATAAGCTAATAATAAATTATGCTTTATTGTTTGTGTGTCAAAATTAATTTTAAGAGCTAACTGTGATGAAAGTTTTCATATTATGCATAATTATCAAAAGTTTTGGTCTAATGCATCATCAAATCTACAATGTAGCAAAATGTGTAAGTGATTACACGTTTCCTTAAAAATCTTGTAATTTGATGATTGCGTTTACTTTCTTCGAGTTCGGACTTTTAACACATAGACACTTGCTTGAATTTAAATCTCAATCTTTAAAATGTGAATAAAAAGTTTTACCAAGTAAAAAAGTAAAACAATGATATGCTGTTAATAAATGGAATCATAAAAATCATTCAACAAAAGTAAATGTGACAAAATAAATTTGGAATCTTATTTTTATTATTGTAAATTTAAAAAAATTAATCAGTGCTAAACAAATATGAAAAGTTCGGATTGCATTTACTAGAATACAATTTACAGAGATTCGCGTTCATACAGCTAAATCAAACTGCATGACTTTTGTCACTGAAGTAAAATTAAAAACTTCATCAAGGCATGCTTCACTTCTGACAAAAACAATCTTATTTGATTTAGTTTGATCTATTAATTAAGCATTAAATTTTTATCGGCGTCATATGGTATAAAACAGAAATATTCATCTTTTCAATTTGATCTTTCATCATATACAGTAAAAAAATTTGTTGAATTATTCTTAAACACAAATTTAAAGATGTTAAAGTTCAAAAATTTGTTTTCGTAAAAAAAATTTGAATCATTACTAGTAAATTTGATTAATAAGTTTAAAACTTATTATCTAAAATTAAGTTCTTTTTTTGTTTTAGAAAAGATAGCATGCTTTCATCCTTGTTAATTTAATTTTTTCCAAATAAAAATATAATATACTGAATAATGTTATAAAAAATATTTTAGCAGTTTTTCAAAAGCAAAAAAAAAAAGAAAATGAAAACAGGAAAGTTAAAGTTGCTCGCTTTTTCACTTTTTTTTTGTTTGTTTACAAAAACAGTAAATCAAAATTTACTCAAAGAATTGATCATACAATTTGATATAAGTAAAAAATTTTGCATTAAAATGTTGAACAATTGGTAGAGTAAAATACTTCTCTTATGCAATAAATTAAACGCAATTTTCATGAAAGAAAAATCATTGAAAACAAGCATTTTCAAATATTAATTGTAGAATAAAATGATTTTATAGCGATTTTATTGACTATATCATTATTTTTTTTTTGCAAAAATTTGATCTTCTGCATTTTATTCTTCATAGTATTAGTAGAAAAAAGTTTGAACTAGTACTTAAGTAGATGTGATTTTTTGCAGCAAAAGAAAGATCAGACAATCAGATTAATAAAAATTGAATATGTAAATAGTAAGTAGAGAAACAAAAAGGTTTTGTTTAACATATTTAATTTGATAATCGAAAATCCATTCAGTATTATCTTTTCAATTTTAGCATTTGCTCTAGCAATTATTAACTTATGTAAAGATTAAATTTATGATATTTCAAATGTATAGTGAGAATACAATTAATGTATAATTTTAAATGCACATAAATCAAAGAAAAATAACTGTATGATTTTTTAGTTCATAAATTGAAATGTAAAAAAAATGTAGCATTTGTTTTAATGAATTCAAAGTTATAAAATTTAAAACATTATTTTTGGTTGCTAAATAATAAGTAAGTAACTAAGTTTGGCAAACAATATTTTTGGTTGCTAAATAATAAGTAAGTAACTAAGTTTGGCAGATAATTATGAACATTTGTTAAGGATCAGTAATATGCAACACTTTAGTATAACAATTAATATTTTTCTTAATTAAAAATTGCTCATTTTTGTTGACAAAAGTTTTTGTCTTATATTTAGTCTTTTTTTAAATCATATTTTTTGTTTATCTTTTTCTTATTTTTATTGCTTTATCAAAATGTCTAGCATAAAATTGAATAACTGCATTTTTTCCAGTAATTTCAAAGATTGTAGTGCTGAGTTAATGACATTCTCAAGCGGATTAACAATGACACAGGTGGTATATTTTTTTTATTATAAAACAAATTTGATTAATTAAACAAAGTTAGTTTAAATTTCAGGAAATTGGAAGAGATTAAAACATCTCAAGATTGATACTTTCTAGCAGTCTCATGCTGGAGACTTCGTGCTTCAATGATAAGCAACTTTTACTTACTAATAGTAATTTAGACGCTTTTTTACAACATTATGTATTTCCAATACAGTTTATATTAGGTGTTGCTGGCAATTCTATAAACCTTATCGTATTACTTAGTAAAGGAATGCGTTCAAAAGTTTGTCTTTTTTTTTTCTTGCTAGAATTTTTATTTTTTTACAATTTTTACATCAAGTTTCAGAAACAACAATTTTCTTGCAAAAAGTATAATTCAAAAATTTATACAAACATTGAAATAATTATTGCTAATATTAATTAATTTATAAATTATGATAATATTTCAGACAAATTCATTATTATCAGCAATGGCATTTGCTGACTTAGCTTTGTTATTTTGTATGCTGCCACATTCACTGGCATCCTTTGAAATTGCATATCGAAGTTATACCTTTCGTTATTTTTATTATGTTAGTAAACGACAATTAAATGCATTTGCAAATTTTTTTTCTGCTGCTGCAACATGGCTAGTTTTTACTTCTTTCAAATACTTTTTCTTAATTTGCTTTCTGTATTAAAGTAAAGTGTATATTACCTTATGCATACTTTAGTCGCTTATTTGAGTAGTATATTTTATTCATATAATATATATATATATATATATTAATTTCCATTTTTTCTTTGTGAAATGTTTGTTGAAAGAATAGCTGATATCATTATTTGCTTCCATTGCAAAACTATCATTTCCTTAAAAAATTAAGATATTAGAAATGCAAAAAAGTTCAAATATATGTATATATATATGCTTTCATTTTTCTATACTTATTCGCCGCACAATTACAATTGCTTTTTTAGATTAATTGTTTTCATACATTTTATTTCATATATTGAAAACATAACATACTACATAACTTATGTATGACATATTATTATTATTATTTATATTACTATTATTATCAAATATTTCAATGTTATTGTATCGTAATACGGTATTAACAATTTTTAGCTCATGTATTAATTTAAGTTTTTAATTAAGTAGCAGCAAAAATATGCATAATATTTAGGTTGGTACTAACAGTATCCATTGAACGATTCATTGGTATTCGATCTCCAATACATGCTCATTTTAAATGGAAAGAAAAAGGTGTCTTATTAATAATTGTATCAATATTCATTGGTGCATTTATTGTTACATTTTATCATCATATCGCTTACAAATATAGCATTTATACAATATGTAATGGTACTCAATTGAAGGGTAATGTCAGGCCGGTTCGTTCCTTACAATTATTGTACCCTTTTTTTTTGTTGTTACAAAATTAGACTATTATTTATAAAATAAGCATTAATTAGATTATTTTGATAAAAATTTAATTTTTTTTTGTACAATTTTTGATAATTCACTATTATTTTTCTAAAAATTTTTGCAAATGTACAATGCTGTTTTAGTATTTTTGGTTTATTTCAAATATTTAAATGCTTAATTTTTGAGACAAATAATTTTGACTATTTTTTCTACTCAATGTGCAATATAAGCAAAAATTTGAAGTTTATTTTGAAATAATTGACAATTAAAAATTTATTAGAATTTGTAATACTAAAAAAGCTTTTAACATCAAGTCAAAAAAATTAAGAATCTAATTTTTATCACAGTAAACAGTGTTTCCGCATGTAATTATCATTGCTAAGACCAAAAATTTTACGTATAAATTTACGAAAAATTAAGCAACATTACATCATATATGTATGTATTTTAGATACATTACAATTGGACTGGAAATAAACTTTATGGTAATCTTTTGGCAAATTATATTCATTATGGAAAGTATATACAATTAATTAGTGTTATTTTGGTTCCCATAATTGCGGTTGCATTTCTTAATGTATCACTAATTTGTTTAATGCGTGATCGTGTTATATTACAACGGAACCGAAGTACAAGTTGTAACAGTGATTATAGGTTTATTTTTCATAATTTTACAAAATTATGATTTAAGGTGCGTTAGAAAAATTAAAATGAAAAGCTTTAAAGTGAGAATAGTAATTGATAGCGAATAAGACAAATTTTTATGGTATTAAATTTTTACAAAATTTTAAATGAATTACAGTGATAATTCTAATTATTCATTATTAGTATGCTGCAAAACTGTAACGATAGTGGAATTATGCAACGCCAAGAAAGAAAAGTGACTGTTACCGTACTGGCTATTGTAACAAGCTTTACTATAACTCACGTAAATGTTTAGAGTATTTTTGTATTTTTTCGCGATTTTTTTTTTATAAATTATTATTTTTTCTATATGAAAATTGCATAGCATAACCTTCTGATGAATGGAACATATCCTAGCAATTCAACAAGTAAAAAAATGAATGTTTTTAGCACATTTATTTATTCGTTTGATGAATTTTTTTACTTGACTGTTAAACTAAGTATGATTTCCAGTTAAGTTTTAATTATTGTTTTCATTTAGCTTGATGCTTATATCATTAAACGATGAATATCAAGTTAATTTAAAATAATTGAAATTCAATAATTAAACTACAGTAAGAATTCAGGATTTTGCTAAATTCTTACTGCATTGTTATTTCAATTTTGTGCTAAATTAGTTTCAGGCTCCATCTCTAATACCTTTTGTTTGGGAAACACTTGGTATTTCCAAACATAACTCACGACCTTTTTTAGCAACAGTAAGTATTGTTAATTCATTGGTTATTACTGGGAAAGTTCTCAACTTTGTATTATTTTGTTCAAGTTCGATATATTTTCGTCGTCGTCTCATTCATATTTTGGTTTCACATTTTGTAAGTCTTAGTCTTATTTCTTGATTTCATTTTATTTTATTTTATTTTTTTTTTTTCATATCAATCATTAATGATATAATAATACTTTTATTGAAGATGTTTTTGAGATTCTTTTTTTTTTCTAATTTTTATCAATTCAGATGAGGCATTCGGAAAGAAAAAAATCACAAAATGCATCAATATCACAATTTAAGAATTCAGTGTCAGTAGCTGCATCTCATATACGTGTGACAAATGCTGTTCTCCATAAACGTTCAATCCAGTGGCAAGAGTCATTAGAGAGTAAATTTTTGGCTGAGGTAGATAACTAATAATCAACATTTTCATGCCTTGATATCAACTTCGTTTTCATTTTGTGCTCTTGAATTGTACCGAGAAAAAAACTTAACTTATCCATGTACAAATAATTTCGTTTTAAATGTGAAATCTTTTCTAATAAAGTAAAAATAATAATTCAAAAATTACTTTGCAAGTACTAATTCACAATTCTTCTTATATCGTTTCTACATGATTTTGTTTTGTTAAAATGAGTTGAATTTATTTGACTGTTTGAAAGTATATTTGTTGAGAGCACTATATCATTGTTTGATCTCATTTAATCTTATTTAATGCAATGTATAAAAAGTGAAGTACAGTATTTGGATATTCGTATCACCATATATAATATTTAGAAATTAAGAAAGCTAGCTTTGTTTGTTTAAATGTTTCTTGCAAAAAAATCTTGCATTATTGTTTTATTATTTGATTTTATTTAAGAGCCAAATTAATTTTTACTATTTTTCTATTAAATTACCATACAAATAATACTCATTCACACAATTGATCTGCTATGTAAATTCAAAATTCAGTGAAGGTGGCAAATATGGTGTATGCTTTGGAATATTAATGAAAAATTCATGCTGTAAAGCTTCAGCTGCCGAATATCGTTCAGTAGATGAGTACACTATAAGACTGCGCAGTAATGAACGACATGATTCGGAAGCTAACGGCACTGTAATATAATTTCATTTAGTTGCTTTTATACCATCCAATCAACTATAATAAAAGGAAATGAATTAATATTAACCCGTTATTTTCTATATACGGAAAACAAACAGTAATAAAATTACTGAAAAGCAAAATTTTAGATTCTTTAATTCCTATCAATGTTTGTTGTGTGTATGAACTTAACTAAAACAAAAAATTACCAACGATTTTCCAGTCCTTTATTGGTTCATTATTTTCAAACACAATTTTATCAGAATCTGGCATAATATTCCAGCCTTTCCAGTTATCTTCACATGGTGCACCAAGAACTGTTATTAATTTTCCTATCTGCTCGATATCATTCCTACCCTATAAAAACTAAGTACTGAAAAATAATCAGAAAATGCTGATAAATAATTTTGCAATTTTTATTTTAATGCTGAAATAATTTTTTTGATTTCATTTTTACTTTTGTAGAATTATTTATTTCTTAGTGTTAATTATTAACTGATATAATAATACATGAAAATTTCAAGTTTCTTTAAAACCTTTTCAAAATGGGAGTTTCAGTTTAATTATGAAAATGTTCTCAGAAATTTTACTGCTAGAATAGTAAAAGAAGAATTTTCAAGAAGAAAATTTTTTTACTGATCAAAATATTACTGTGAAAAGTGGTGTGCCATTATAAAATTCAGTGAAAATACAACCACAAGCCCATTCATCTATTTTAGGATTGTATGTTGTAGAACCGAATAATAATTCAGGTGCTCGATACCATCTAGATGCTACCTAAAGTAATTACTCATTCAAAATGTATAATTTCTTAAAACTTTATCATGAAATAACTTTAAAAAAGAACAATAGATTATATAAACTATGAAAAATCGTAATTGTTACCTCGCAATCATAATTTTGTTTTGGATTATCTGCTACATAAATGCAACATTGTCCAAAATCTGAGATTTTTAGCAAACCAGATGATGTGATTAGTACATTGTCTGGTTTCAAGTCCTTCAAAAACTTTATAATAAATATATTCCAACAAGTGCATGTAAATTAATTCTAGACCAGATCATCTATGCATACCCTGTGCATAATATTCAAACCATGAAGATAATTGAGACCAGTAAATAATTGATACATATAAAATTTAGGAATCTCCTCATTCAGTGGGCGATTGATATCTTCAATCATTAATCTTAGGCTTGATCGTACAAATTCCATTACAAAAGAAACCAGATCTATGTTCACAATTATATCGAATAATTTCACAATCTAAAAAATAATAACTATTATTTGGAAATGAAAAATTTTTCTCTTAATACCATAAATTGCAATAAAGTAAAATTAGAAACATTTGTGTTATTTTTTTTTTCAAAATTTTAACGCTATTAAATAAGTATTAACAACATTTTTGTGGTAAACGTTTCGAAGGGCGAACATTTCTCTGATTAATGCAATTTCATTCCGACGATTCCGTTTCAGAGGTATTCGCTTGATAGCAACCACCTTACCATTCTGCAAATTTCTATCAAAACCATTTAAATGTTTTAGCTCAGAATTTCATTTCATATTTAGCATATACTTGTTTGTTACTTATTTTATTAAATTAGATCAGTTTACAGTTTTTCGGTAATAGATTGAATAAAAATGCTGCACATTTGTAGTAATATGTTCGAAGTCGCTAGCAGCATACAATAATTTAGATAACAAATATTGATAAAAGTAATTTGGCATCTATAATAATTGAATGGCATACATTCTAAGTGTTGATCTACTCATATTATCTTACCTGAATATTTATCCCTTTCAAAACAACACCAAATGCGCCTTCACCGATCAGAGAGCAAATCTGATAGGAGTCCTCGTAATTTTCAGATGTGTACAACCTTGGGTTCAACATTTGATATTAATCACTGTAATATATCTATATCTATCTACATATATAAATCGTTTTATAAGTTAATAAATATGAAAATTGTTCTTTTTAAAAAAAGATCAATACTTATTAATGATCATATCATACCAACATTCCTTATGTAAAACAATTTGTAACAAAATGTTTTTTGAAATTACGAACCATCTTAATCATACAAATCTTTGAATAAATCTTCACTTCACGTCCTTATAAGATCATCATCACAAGCTACTGATTTCCAGACTTTCTATAAGGCACATGTGTGAGTAGAGTATTACTAAAAATACTTATTTCCATTATCAATACCCAGATACCATCCATCTATCCTTTTGAACCTCGAACGCAAAGTAGCTAAAAACTATTCTATAACAGGCACAAGACCTCTCGTTCCCTCAACAGTAACCATGGAAACACATGAAGAAATATTGATGCACCGGATAACAAAATATATTTGCATTTTTCACGATCTTGAATGCAGCATGCAGTATACGTTAAATAGGGAGAATCTGCGGACTAACAAAATCATTATTTGTTGGCCATTTTTTGGGATACTGATTTTGATCATTGCTCTGATTTCTGCACTTGCAATTCATACGCGTAAGGTAGTAGTTTAAAATTCATCATTTATTCAAAATTTTGAACGAACAAGACAAATAACAAACTTGAGCACATTTCATGAAACGATGTAAAATTAAGTAATCAGATCTAGAATGAATTTCCTCACAGATAATACAATTGGTTCATACACAATACAGCAAAATATAAGTCAAAATGTGCGACTATAACTAGAAGCTTGAAAAAATTATCAATTAAGTCTTGCAAACTAAAACAGAAACAATACCTACCAACCTCATATTTCCTGAAAGAACAATAATGCTGCAGACATGATTTGAACAAGGAGGGTAACAACTGAAAACTTCGTCGTTTTACTATTAAATTCAATGTTGAAACGAAATGCGTGTTCAACACACGTATATAAACAAGGATACACTGATTATGAAGATCAATCACTTACCACCTTTACGTAAAATATAACCAACTTTCGAACCATCCTCAAAAAGACTACGTACCATATAGACCTGAAAAATACATGAAATCAATGACATTCTCATAGTCTATTTTGAAGAATGCACAAATGCTATTTACCTGCACAGTAAGGGAAAATAACATAACACAAAGGTGTACAACGCTCCAAAAATTTATCATTTCATAGCTGTGTTCAACAGCTGCGCGATCAGCTAATTCTATAGTTGCATATTGTCTTTGCAGCCTTTCGATGATATTCAAGTTATTTTTAACATTTGTTGTCACATTCTAAAACAATACAAGAAACATTAAAATGATAGTAATTATGAAAAGACAGCAAAATAGACCAACATCACACCCACCTGAAAATTACTAATATGAGTATCAAGAGTACGCAAAACTTCCGCATCGACACTGAGCGACTGATCGAAATTCCCCAGAAAGTGACCGTCAGCATCCAAGAGAAACAATTTGAAAGATACTCGCTTGTCAGATTGAATACTAAACTCATTGTCAAAACAAAACAGGTAGTCACCATAACCCGCATTCTCCATACTCAAATCAATTCTGGAAATAAATCAAAGATACGAATCTATGACACTTAATAGCAAATTTTCCTTATTATTATTATTAATAGTAAAGAAAATTTCACGGATGTTATACCGCTTATAACGATCCATCAGCTCATCATCTTCTTTCAAACAAAGAATAGTTACCACCAAATTTATACCGCAGAGTTACATAAATAAATAAGCTGTAAAATTAAGAGTAAACCTAATATTTGGGTTACAGATTTAGCACTGACCGTAGCAATCGGACAATGCGGCAAAGCCAGAACAAAAACGAAGGAATACTTTCTACCTGTGAGACCCATCACTCTTCTTTGCGTCATCCACTATACGCACTCCCTTCGGTGAAGTAATGAAAAACCTTATGTCAAGCTCACCACCAGTAATAACCTACAATCCGTATAAAACGAATTACTTATATCTCAGTAAATTTAGTCGACGGCACTTGGATTATGCAGTTAAAACGTTACCTGATAGTCAACTTCGAAAGTTCGATATTTAGGATTACTAATTGTGAAACCGTAACAATCTGTTTTCCCTGCCGGTATGATCACTGAGTGAGCAAACTCATCTGCTGTTATTAGATACGCCGAAATAAAGATGAATAGAAGACTATACGAAATCATTACCAAATTGCAATTACTGCTTAGAGGAAACAAAAAATACCCTTAAAGTCCGACAATTTCCACTTCATACTGCAAAGTCACATCAAAATATATTCAAAATTAAAATACATACGCAAACCTTTAACCACGATTTTCGTTTTGTTAATTCTTCAATACCCGATTACAAAGATTAATAATAAAAAAACCAAATTACTACGGCATTCCTAAATTACGAATTTGAATTTTACAAATCCACACAACATACACAAGATTTTTCCTCCGCTACAAAAAAAATCAAAAAGTAAATTTCAAACGGTACCACCAAATACGATGTAGAATTAATGCAGAGGAGTTATACGGAACAGCATTTTATTAGTTTTTAAGAACGTAATACGACCCAGAGAAATGTGAAGTTCATATAAATAAAACTAAAGGACAAAAACAAGAGAGGCGAACATAAAATTCCAAGTGTAAATTAATAAACAATCTTATTTCTATAAGTCAGAAAGTGAGTTCTTAACAAACTGGAACCTTAGTACAATAAAGACTTCTATAAAAACAGCCATTTTTTACTACCGTGGAACATTTGTCCTATCGTCCCTGGGTTCTGCTATCTCCCACAGCCACCGCCATTAATTACTGAAAATAACAATGTTGGGAAAAAGTGCTGAAATGAAGTGAAATAAATGTCAATTACTTATAACAACTTGACAAGCCAGTAGTATAGAGACTAACCACGTTAAATGATGACTCATATAAATCTTAGAAGTGCTGCTTCCTCAACAACTTTCCCAACTTGGAATTGTCTTCAAAGAGACTTTTTATCATGTATACCTGGAATATATACCAGTAAGACACGAAAACCAAAGCATACGTTACTTGAAAATTAAATATTCCGACCTTCAGTTCTGACTAAGAACGTCGTATCAAATTATTTAACGACGATAATGACGCTCATACCTGCAATAAGCCAACAGCGATTAAAACTACAGAGTTGACCACTGACCACAAGGTTACGCGCTCAAAGTTAGCATTCATTATAGCCCGATCACGTGCTTCATATGCTCGCAGCAACGACTGATGGTACTCAATTTTGTTCAATCGATTTTTTATGCTGTTCGATGCTGACTGAAATGTCAAAAATTGACCCGCAAGAAATCATTGCAAACAGGAATGACTTAGTCGCTAAGAGAAACCAAGTATTACACAACACACGCTGAATGTATGAAATATTCTATACTCTTTTGACGCAGTGACTTGCCAGAAAGTAAAATGGACATAAAATAACATGCCGAACAAAAAATAAATTTTCGATCAATTAGCAAAATAAATTTTGATAAATTTAATGAAAAAGTTGGCAACTTAAAATTCACATAAATAAAACATAACTTGGTATGGAATGACGTTATTTACAATACCTGAAACTTTTGCATTTCAAAACCAAGTCCTGTATATTCTTGCTTTGCAGAATCAAATTCCTCAACCATGTTCGTTTCATCAAAGTTTCCATCCTCATCCAACAAATAGACTTCAAAAAACAAAAGTTTTCGAGCTTGATAGCTGAATGTGTTGTCAAAACATAATTCATAATCACCAGAATCGTTTACGGCAAATCTTAAATGAATAATTTGAATTAAAATATCAAAAATTTCAATTTTTCGTTTTTTCATTTCATGAAAAAATTTGTTTTACGTGTCTGCAACTGATATTGCTAACGTTTTAGGTTGGTGACACTTTAATTAGTAAAACATAAGTTCAAAATCATCACAGCCAGTAAATGCATTTTGAAATCATTATTTGAATGTTAATGGTCAATTAATGATGATTAACATTAACAATCGGGAATTTAAAGACATAAAATGCAAACCTTACTTATGACTTCCCTCTACTTTTCTCTCTTCTTGTAATAAAACTACACTCTCGAATTTCATCACAAAATTAATATTTAAATCGCTACCGTCAACTACCTAAAATGAATTGTTAAGTAGAGACTTTAGCGTAACAACCGCTACTTCAGTTGAATATTAATGCAAACAATATCAAGCAGTCTTAGATAACGAATGTCTGAAGCAATTAGATTAACATGCTAGGTTCTGAATAGAAATATATTACCTGATAATCAACTTCCATATATTTGTGTCTAGTATTATTAACTGTCTGAAAAAAGCAACTATATCTTCCAGCCGCTACTTCAATAGTATAAGCGTATTCGGCTGTTTCACTCCCATAAAAAAGTAGGAGAGAAAAGATACATACCAGAATCCAATTTAAATCCATAAAATCTAGAATAAGAATTCAATGAGCAAAAAGTATGCTATCTCGTTATCAACACTACTAACTGATTTGACTTAAACGCTGTGCTATGATTTATCGCTAATACTTAAATTCACTCACAGATAGTCATTATGTAACAATTCCGTAAATTTGTGCATATCTAAAGAATTTAAAACATATCAAAGTTATTCTGGAACATATGATGATAGTTAGACTATTTCACGTAATGATAAGATAAATTCAAGAGAAACACTTGCTGTTTTCGGTTATAGCAAAGACTGCAAATATTTTTGGTATTTTACGGATGACTACACACGTATTCATTCTTTAGAAGTGGCAAAAAGAGACTGAGCTACGTTGTAAATGTGAGATTGAGATGGTGTGTTCACGTGGCATACTTGTGATTTATCTTTTGGGTGGTACGGTATCTAGAAAGTGACAGGAAGTAACCTTTGGTTTACGGTAGAAAGAAACAGGTGCATAGGAAAATTAATGAGTGCTGTAGTAGTGGACAACTTTCATTGAGATTACATTATTGTTACTATTAATTGATTATTATAGCTAGGTATTGATTACTATCATAAGTATTTTCTTTAATTGTACGTAAAAGAATTAGTTTGAAAATTTCAGTAATGTGATGTAAGATGTTACGCTAGTTTGCATGTTTTCGACAAAACAGTAACAAATAATTGAGAAAGTATTATTAATAGTTTCACTTTTATGCGCAGTTACCATCACCTCTTACCATATAAATTTTTTGACGTGCATATTACATAATAATTTAATTAATAATTAACCATTTTACATAATTCTGAATAGATTATAAAATGGATGGTAATACTGTTTCCTACATTTTACTGTGTATTTGATTTCTGACTTTCTGATGTCAGTAATGACGACGTTAGGCCGACGTATTGAACCAAAACCGCCATCAACAACAGCAGTAGCATCAACATACTTGTCTGAAACTGTACCATACTTGCTTTTTTCAATTCCTCGGCAACAGTCTATGCTTACTGTACGGAAGAAACATTTTCCAGTGCATACAGTTCTTGTCGATAATCAAAGTTTGCAGTCGAAATTGGACTCAACTATAGAAGGCAGAGTATTTATGCATTAATTAATATAGACAGTTCAAATTAATGGTTTTATTTAAATAACTAAATTCTTTCTACTTATTCATGTAGCAAATATTTAAGTAAATTAATTAATCAAACAATCTATATGCGTTAATCATTTATGTACTCAGATTAATAAGTAAATACATTCCTTCATTCATGAAATAATTAATTTATAAAGTAGATTATTGTTGTTTCTTTTTTGTCATATTTAACAAGTATGAAGATTCAGAAAACAAAAATTAAATAACTGCTTTGTTATAAATAAGCATCAAACTCAGAAAGTAAATATGTTCCATTACTTTCAGTGAATCTCTGCTCATTTATTCATTCATTCACTCATAAATAAATAAATAAATGAAGTTTTTATTACTTATTTATTTATTTATTTATTTCTCAAGCTCAATGCTATCAAAAGTAAGCAGAGAAGAGAAAAAGTAATTTATTAATGCATTCTAATAAATGAATGAGTGAATATTTTGAGAAGGGAAGTAAACTGTGAGTACTGTAGTAAAAATCATTATGCCTTTTTTAGTTAGTCTGGTTATTTTTTCTTTCAAATTAATTGGTACCAGTACTACCATTTAAATTAAAATTTTCCAATTTTTTTCCTGTCCTTTTTCGTATTCTCTCTCTTCTACCAGTCTTCTTCTCGTGTCTCTTTCTCATTTTTTATTTTAGCTGATATAAAATGTAGTAGTTTGTCGTATATTCCAATTTCGTTTGTCATCAATTCAGTTTTTTCTTATTGTTGTCATACTTTTAGAATAAATTCAGCTTTGTCTATTCTAAAATTCAGCTTTGTCTATTCTAAAATTCAGCTTTGTTATTTTTCTGATTTGCAAAAAATTTCAACTTTTTCAAAATTTTATTTTATTTCATTTCAATCATTTTTGAATTATATCTGCAATGCTAGTTGTGATTTCCTGTATTGCTCAATAAAGTAATAAGCAACTTTTCATTTTTTTTTTTTTTTT